AAGCAGAAGTAGATGTTTTTCTGGAACTCCCTAGCTTTCTCCATGATCCAGCGTATGTTGGCAATTTGATCTCTAGTTCCTCTGCCTCTTCGAAATCCTGCCTGTACTTCTGGTAGTTCTCGATCCACATACTGCTGGAGTCTAGCTTGTAGGATTTTAAGCATAACTTTACTAGCATGTGAAATGAGTGCAATGGTGCAATAGTTTGAGCATTCTTTGGCATTGCTGGCAAATTGAGTGTAGCACTTTTACTGCATCGTCTTTTAAGATTTTGAATAGCTCAGCTGGAATACTGTCACCTCCACTAGCTTTGTTGTTGCTCAGATTTCCTAAGGCCCATTTCACTTCACATTCTAAGATGTCTGGCTCGAGGTCAGTGACCACCCCATCGTGGTTATCTGGGATGTTAAGCTCGTTCTTGTATAGTTCTTCTGTGTAATTTTGCCACCTCTTCTTAATTCTTCTGTCTGTTAGATCCCTGCCATTTTGGTCCTTTATCATGCCCATCTTTGCATGAAACGTTCCCTTCATATCTCCAATTTTCTTGAAGAGATCTCTGGTCCTCCCTATTCTGTTGTTTTCTTCTATTTCTTTGCACTGTTCATTTAAGAAGGTATTCTTATCTCTTCTAGCTATTCTATAGAATTCCGCATTCAACTGGGTGTATCTTTCTCTTTCTCCTTTGCCTTTCACTTCCCTTCTTTCCTCAGCTATTTGCAAAGCTTCCTCAGACAGCCATTTTGCTTTCTTGCATTTCTTTTTCTTTGGGATGGTTTTAGTTGCTACCTCTTGTACAATGTTGAAAACCTCCGTCCATAGTTCTTCAGGCACTCTGTCTATCAGATCTAATTCCTTAAATCTATTTGTCACCTCTACTGTATATTCATCAGGAATATGATTTAGTTCATACCTGAGTGGCCTAGTACTTTTCCCTACTTTCTTCAATTTAAGCCTAAATTTTGTAACGAGAAGCTCATGATCTGAGCCACAGTCAGCTCCTGGTCTTGTTTTTACTGACTGTATAGAGCTTCTCCATCTTTGGCTGCAGAGCACAAAGTCAATCTGATTTCTATGTTGACCGTCTGGTGATGTCCATGTGTACAGCTGTCTCTTGGTTGTTGGAAAATAGTGTTTGTTATAACCATCGTATTCTCTTGACAAAATTCTATCAGCCTGCCCTGCTTCATTTTGTACTGCAAGGCCAAACTTGCCTGTTATTCCGGTTATCTTTTGGCTTCCTACTTTAGCATTCCAATTCCCCCATGATGATAAGGACATCAATTTTTTGGTGTTAATTCTATAAGGTGCTGTAGGGCTTCATAGAATCGGTCAATTTCATCCTCTTCAGCACCAGTGGTTAGGGCATAGATTTGGACTACTGTGATATTGAATGGTTTGCCTTGGATTCGAACTGAGATCATTCTGTCATTTTGGGGATTGTATATCAATATTGCTTTTCCTATTCTTTTATTGACTATGAAGGCTACTCCATTTCTTCTGAGGGATTCTTGCCCGCAGAAGTATACCTGATGGTCATTTGAGTTAAATTCACCATTCCTGTCCATTTTAGTTCGCTGATTCCTAAGATGTCGATGTTCAGTCTTGTCATCTCTTGTTTGACTACATCTAGCTTGCCTTGATTCATGGATCTTACATTCCAGGTTTCTATGGAGAAAAGATCTTTACAGCGTCGGACTTTCCTTTCACCACCAGATATATCCACAGCTGAGTGTCCTTTCGGCTTTGGCCCAGTTGCTTTATTCTTTCTGGCGCTACTAGTACTAGCTCTCTGCTCTTCCCCAGTAGCATATTGGACACCTTCTGACCTGAGGGGCTCATCTTCCAGCGTCATATCTTTTTGCCTTTTAGTACTGTCTATGGGGTTTTCATGGCAAAGATACTGGAGTAGTTTGCCATTTCCTTCTCCAGTGGATCACATTTTGTCAGAACTCTCTGCTATGACCTGTCCGTCTTGGGTGGCCCTGCACGGCATAGCTCATAGCTTCATTAAGTTATGTAAGCCCCTTCGCCACGACAAGGCAGTAATCCATAAAGGGGTCAGCCCTAATTAAATGTTATTAAAGTTCATCTTGGGGAATAGTTGATTTATCTGATATCCTACTAGGTTTTGCTCCAAATATTAGACAGACTGGTTCATAGTCTAGATGAGCTGGTTTTGTTACTAAAGCAAAGAATTGGCTAGCAACTTACAATATCTCCAGATTATCACCCCTCATTGTCCTAATTTTAGAACAGGCATGCAGTGGCTTATCTTTACTGTTGGGCAATTGGGAGACAGCAATCAAATTATCAGTCAATCTGGCATGGACTCAAGTACATCTCCTCAAATATTTGACACAGCAAGGCCACATGATAAACTTTTTAGCATGACAATGAAACCATCAAAGTCTGTTGACTGCCTTCTTCACTGTCCCTTCTTATATATTGATATGCTGTAAATCCACTTCTTGTTTTTGTCTTTCTGAAGCTTAATGGACATTTTGCTGTGCATTTCTCAACCATGGTGTTTGACAGGAGTAGGCTGCAGACATAACTAGCATTTCTGCATTTGAGAAGCTCTATCTCCAGATTATTCCAAACAGATAGACTGAAGAGCATGGAGTGCTTCAGAAGGATTCAGTTCTCAAAAATATGTTCCCCAAGTTCTGAGGAAATACTAAGTTCCGTTACAGCAACATGGTATCACGGGCACCTTTCATGGTGCCCAATTTGCATTGCCCCTTTTTAATTTTTCAAAAGTTTTTAATTAAAAAAATAGAGCATAAAAATCACTATATTCTAAAGTGTCAGTATTCTTAAGCTTTAAGGGGACATCAACTATTCTCAGAAGATAAATACTGAACATGTGTCCACCCGTAGAGATTACTTGCATCTACGATAGTCTATATTTATAGAAAACATATTTTAACTTGTACTTCATGGTAGAATACAGCAGTTAATATTTAAGATAAGATTCTGAGGCAAAAGACGAGAATTGGAATCTCTCTGAAACTGATTTCTAAAAGCTTTTTTCTAGTCAACACAGCAAATATACATGAATAAAAATATTTGAAAGGTACATCATAATCCAATCAGATAAAAAGCGGGCACCGTCTGAACCAAGTAGCGAGACGTGAAGCTTTTGCTATTTCAGTCAATTGCTTTCCGTCTGACTAGAGAGCGCAACGCGTGCGCAGTAGGCAAAATAGCTTTTTTTCGTCTTCCGCCCGTTCTTCCCTTCCACTTCCGAAAGGTCCTTTAAAGGACCAGCAAATCTTTAAAGAAACGAATTAAAAATGGAGACTAAAATCAATTGTCCCATGAGAATGTGGGATGATTAAATCGGGGGAGTCTTGCGACTCACAGAAAGGCTGGGTTTCAAATTCAAGGCAAAGCAATTGAGCTCAGCCTGCTGCAATTCGGTTCCGAGGGGCAAGCACGTAATGGAGTTGCCGGAGCCTGGAGTCGGAAAAGTCGGTGACTTAGAGGAAGCAGGGGAGACCGGACTCTGCCGGCGATCACCGGCAGTATCGGTAGCAGCGGTTCTACCTGCCGGAGGAAGCGGTGAAAGGTTGGGTGGCAGCACTCCGAAGCAATTTTGTCTCATGCTGGGGAGGCCGCTCATTAGCTATACCGTGCAGGCAATAGAAAGGTAAAGCTATACTGTTGCTGCATCCTTCCGTCCCCACACATCTGTATCACTCAGCACCCCATTCCCATGTGCTTATGAGGGGAAAAGATGCATGACAGACCAAGAGTTCTTCCATTCTACGCATGCGCGCAAAGGGAAGCGGAGTACAGCGGGCTTTGCAAAGCTCATGATAGCACTAAGAGCAGTTTGTCTCAGACATGGAGGGTTTGGCAAGCTGCTGCTTAGCACAGTGGGAAGTATGGCAAAGGAAAAGGTTAAGGATGGAATTCATAGGTGCAGCTCTGAACTTCTCATGCTGTATCTAAAGCGACTCTGTGTGCTTTCTGAGTAATAAGGTTCATTGAATGGTTTGAATGCATTTCTTATTTTCCTCTGTCTCTCTGTGAGTTTGTGTGCTTTCGAGTCAGTATTGCTTCCTTCCTAGGACGGAGAGAGTGAGTAGCCTAAGGATATTCAGTTCTCTTTGCTCCTAAGAACTCACAGAGTCTTTAGTTTGTAGCTTGGTGCATTAACCACATCAGTGTTTCTCAAACTTGGTAACTTTAAGATATCTGGGCTTCAACTCCCAGAATTTCCCAGCAATCCCCATGAATTGATGTATGATCCTTAGCCTATGCACTGTTGAATTCTGGACCCTGAATGGTCTTTTAAAGGTCACCTGCATACATTTGTATTTGTATCAATAACACACAGATAGCAATTCACATACACATGTCTACAAAATGGCACTAATTGGCTTTTTTAAGTCTTGTGGTATACTTCTCTTGACATTAAGATAATATGTTTAATGGTAAGGGTACTTGAGCTGTGTAGTTTGATGTGAGGGATAACTTTAGAGTTAAATCTATTGTGTTGGGTAACTGTCAGGGTAATGTTTAGGATAATTATTTTTTATTGGAATAATTAAGGTTAGGTTTCCTTGAGTTCTGGTTACATTTGTTTCAATAATTAGCTTTAGAATGAGTTTTTAGATAACCATATAGTGTTGGTCTTTATTTTATGTGAGGGTGATCTGTTTACATAGCCTTTAAAGTACAAAAATTATATTGATATAGTGCAGTTTGAATTATGATGGGCTCCCATAAGGTCTATGTTTACATTTAATGAATGATTGGCTTTTGTGTAAGCTTTTTCAGTAGTAGTGGACCTACATTTGTGTTATGTTGGTACCTGAGTTATTATTAGTCTTCACGATTCCTTGCCAAGGTAAATTTTAAAGTAAGAACACTAAGGTAACCTTTACTGTAAAACACTTGACATTGGTGTAAAATTAAGCTTAGGTAGGTTTTCTTGAGGTCCAAGATTGTATTTAATGAGGGGCTAGGTTTTGGATGAGGTGTTGTGGTTAGTGGTAGTCTTATATTCATTTTATAATGTGGGGATTGCCTGCTGGGTTAACTTTTACATTAAAAAATTCTATTAGTGATTTAGTTTGGCATGATCATTAGTTTTAATTGATATTTTTTATGGTAGAAGCATGTTATTGGGGGATTTTAGGATAAATTGTTCAACTATTCAGGGAAAGGTAGGGTTAGGATTTGACTTTTTAGAATATAATAGAATAGAGCTGGAAGGGATCTTAGAGTTCTTCTTGTCCAGTCCCCTCCTCAAGCAGGAGAACCTATACCAGTGGTGGTGAACCTATGGCACACATGCCAGAGGCGGCATGCGGAGCCCTCTCTGTGGGCACGCACCATCGCCCCAGCACACATGGTCTCTAAAAGTTCGCCATCACTGGCCTAAGGCCAGCCAGCCTGGAGCCGCCATTGGGGAGCCTACCATCCCACCCGCCAGAGACCCCCTGGATCTCCCTCAACCCTGTCCGGCTCCCACAGATGTCCCTCCCCATAAGCAACATCAAGGTGGCCACGTCCACCCAATCTGTCATGACTACTACAGCCACACCCATCCAGTGGCCACACCCACCCAGTCTGCCAAGCCCACTGTAGCTGCGCCCGCAAGTCATCTGCAAATGCTTGTAGTTTATATTTTTCATATTTTATCTCCAGTCCTTTAATTTCTGAGTCTCGCCTAATATTTCTATTCAGTACTTCCAGTGTTAATATAAATAATATTGGGGATAATGGACATCCTTGTCTTGTGCCTTTTTTAAAATTAAAGTTTTCTGTAAAGTCTCCATTTATGATTCCTTTAGCTATTTGTCTATGATAAATTGTTTTAATTATATTTATAACATTTTTCCCAAAATCCATCTCGTTTAGTTGTTGAATCATAAATTTCCAATTTATATTATCAAAAGCCCTTTGTGCATCTAGGAATATTAGCGCCATCTGTTTCCCTGGGTGCATTTCATAGCATTCCAAAACATCTAAAATCATTCCTAAGTTAATTTTTATTTGTCTCTTAGGTAAAAATTCATTTTGGTCTGTATGTATAAATTCAATCAAAAATTTCGTTAAATCTTTCTGCTATTATTGAACACAGGGCCCTGAGCATACGTGTGACGCAAACACTTGTGTGATACTCGCTAGCCCTGCCCTGTTCTTGTGCACAGCATCCTGTTTCTGCATCCTGAGGCGTGTCGGCCCGTTTTCGCACACCAAGGCACGGCGGCATCCCATTTTGTACCCTGAGGCGTGACGTTGGCCCGTTTTCAAGCAGTGCAGTGGCTCAGTGTCCCATTTTTGCACCCTGTGGGGTGGCAATATCCCATTTTTGCACCCTGCAGTGTGGCAGTGTCCCATTTTTGCACTGTGCAGTGCGGCATCCTATTTTCGTGCCCTGCAGCTATGGCGCTAGTGGCCAGCAGTCCATGGCCCACTACCGGGCCGTGTCCCACAAGTTGGGGGCCCCTGAATTAGAGAGTGTGATGTCTAAAGTCATCTAGTTAACTAGTTAGGCCCAGGTTTGAATGGTACCTGAGTCTCCACGTTTCTAATCCAAAATCTTAATCACTATAGGCTTTAAATTTAAAGTTTATCTTTACATTGCAATTTCTAACAATTGCAATTGCTGACAATCTCATGGAAAACTCTTAAGATAAATCCTGAATCATAAATATAAACTGTGATTGGGAAACTAAGATTATATACCCATCAAAATTAATAAAACATAAGTTAGTCATGACTACAAGAGGTTTTTCTATTCTAGTCACAGTCTTATTATTAAGGCGGCAATTTCACACTCTCTGAATATATATTATATATTACATGGTAAATATTTGTGCTGTGTTTTTGTAAAATATTATGGTGAAAATAGCCTATATGCATCTACATGTATAGCCAAAAATTTGGAAGCTATACAATATATTTATTTTCAATTAGAAGAAAGTTTAAACATTAAGTCTAAGGAAGTTTTAGACATTATATTATTTTCTTCAATGTCTTACAGAATCAACTGGATTTCTGATGTTGTTGTTGTGGTCTCTTCAGAAAATATTGAAATAATGAAATCTATTATTAGAAAATATGGCCATGAGCGGACAACGGTAGTAGAAGGAGGACTAACCCGTCATAGATCTATTTTCAATGGATTGAAAGTATTTGTAAAAGGCAACACATTCTGTGCTCCATTCCACAAACCAGAAATAATAGTAATCCATGATGCTGTCCGACCATTTGTTGAAGAGGATATTCTTTTTAAAGTGGTTATGGCTGCCAAAGAGCATGGGGTAAGTATGATGAAATCACAAATATTTGTAATGTTGCACTAATAGCAATATACAATTTATTCTTTATCAACTTTATGTTCCCAATTAATATGCATAACTAAGAATTATTGATTAAGATTAAAAAAAATCAAAACATAAGGTACAAGTATGCACCCATGGTAACTTGTAATTTGTTTTTCTTGAATGGATAAGAGTGCCAGTACAAAATTGGCACATTGCTTTTGAAAATGAATGGATTTTAATTGCAGTTTTTAGTAAATCATATGGAATGGGATACTATTGGAAATTAAAACTCTTGTGCTTGCCTTGTAACGTTTGAATGTTAGCCATCTGAAAATACAATTAATTTGAATAAATATATTAAAAATTCTTTTAAGGGTTTAAGTCACACATAACTTTATAGCAAAATTTTTATTGGCTCATAAGATTTCATCTAAAAGTTTAATAAGTAAAGATTTTTAAATTTTCTATAATTTAAATGGTTAAACCAGGGGTCTTCAAACTTGGCCCTTTTATGATTTGTGGACTTCAACTCCCATAATTCCTTAGCCAGAGTGCCTGGCTGAGGAATTCTGGGAGTAGAAGTCCACAAGTCATAAAAAGGCCATGTTTGAAGACCCTTAGGTTAAACCAATGAAATACTTCAATATGTTAATAGGAAATCTAAGTAAGAAATGCCTTACTTTTGTGAATTTCTTTAGTTTATTAGCCAAAGAATCAAAAGTATGTTATGGATGTCAAAAATAGTTAACATAAACAGACATCATCATCATCATCATCATCATCATCATCATCATCATCATCATCATCATCATCATCATCCAGTTGGAAGGGACCTTGGAGGTCATCTAGTCCAACCCCCTGCTTAGGCAGGAAATCCTATACCAGGGGGGGGGAACCTTGGCTCTTTTATGACTTGTTGACTTCAACTCCCAGAATTCCTCAGCCAGCCATTGAAATCTACAAGTCATAAAAGAGCCAAGGTTTCCCACCCCTGCCTTATACCATTTTAGACAAATGGCTGTCCAGTCTCTTCTTAAAAACTTCCAGTGTTGGAACATTCACAGTTCCTGGAGGCAGGTTGTTCCACTGATTAATTGTTCTAACTGCCAGAAAATTTCTCCTTAGTTCTAGGTTGCTTCTCTCTTTGGTTAGTTTTCATCCGTTGCTTCTTGTCCTGCCTTCAAGTGCTTTTGAGAATAGCCTCTTCTTTGTGATAGCCCCTGAGATATTGGAACACTGCTATCATGTCACCCCTCGTCCTTCTCTTTTTTAGACTAGACATACCCAATCCCAGCAACCGTTTCTTATATGTTTTAGTGTCCAGTCCCCTGATCATCTTTGTTGCTCTTCTCTGTACTCTTTCTGAAGTCTCAACATCTTTTTTACATAGTGGTGACCAAAACTAGATGCAGTACTCCAAGTGTGGCCTTACCGAGGCATTGTAAAGTGGTATTAACACGTCATATGATCTTGAGTCTATCCTCTGTTAATGAAGTCTAGCACTGTGTTGGCTTTTTTGGCAGCTACAGCGCACTGCTGGCTCATATTTAAGTCATTGTCCACTAGGACTCCAAGATCCCTCTCACAGTTGCTACTATTGAGCAAGGTACCTCCTATACTATACCTGTGGATTTGGTTTTTCTTGCCTAAATTTAGAACCTTACTTTTTTCACTATTGAATTTCACTGTTCATGTTTGTCAAGATCCTTCTGTATCTTAAGCCTATCTTCTGGAGTGTTGGCTATTCCTGCCAGTTTAGTGTCGTCTGCAAATTTGATGAGTTCCCTATCTATCCCCTCATCCCCTCATCCAATAATTGATGAAGATGTTGAAGAGCACTGGGCCAGAACAGAGCCCTAGGGCACCTAAGGCACCCCACTACACACCCCTCCATGTAGATGCAGTTATTACAATTAATATTAGTCATATTGATTTTTACTTAATCTATAGAATATTCAGAAAATTCTAAATATTTATCCCAAATTATTTAGTAAAATCCCTTCACTTCTACATGAGGAATCATTACTTAGTTACACTGGGTAGAAGGGGAGGGTTAAGCAGAAGGAAGAAATGAGAGAGGCATTTGATGGGTCAGACTAAAAAGTATAAAAGAACAGTGTAAACTAAAAGAGAAACACTAATAATCTTTGTGACAAATTAAAGAATCATTTTGTAAATAAGAATAGATGAAGAATTTTATAGATGTACTTTAAGGAGAATTTTTATTCAGATGTTATTGGTAAAAGGAATTATTTAATTAGTCATCTGAGTAAATGAGTAAATGATAGAATATACCCTCATGTCAGTGGTGGGATTCAAATAATTTAACAACTGGTTCTCTGCAAGGGTGGGGGGGGCGCTGCCATGAGGCAGGTGGGAAAGGGGGTAGCTGCCTCAACTCGCAACTGCTTACCGTACCAAGGGCTCCCACAACCAGGCCTACCACGTCCCAACACCTGTTGCACCTTGCCTGTTCGTTGGTGACTTCTCCCACTTTCTCCTTTTTCCTCCTCCTTTGAACAACCCTTTGTTCTCATTGCTGCTTTTTCAGTCCTGGAGTTTTGTCCGGAGCCTGTGCAGAGGGTCTTTGGAAATGAAGCCCCACGGTGATCCTGTGGGGTGGGAACCATTTCCTTTGCTTTTGGACAGGCTCTGAAATGGACTGGAAGGAGCGGCCCGAGGACTCTGACTTTGCAGCAAGCAAGGGGATTGGAGGCACATGAATGCACACTAGTCTGGCATCTCAAAAAAATGGGTTCCCCCCCCCCATGCTGGATTTTTGCTGCCATTCTGTTTAACTTTCTTTAAAGTTACTTGATGCAGAACTTGCATCACAGCACAAAGGTTTCACTAATTAATTGTTAAACTTCCATCCATTACTTCTTACCTGTCTTGCGATTAAATGCTTTGGAGAATTGGTTATCCCCTTCCTCTCTGTGACAGCTCTTCAAATAGTAGAACATTGCTATCATGTCACCTAGTCCTTTTTGTTAGCCAAGACATTCCCAGTTCCCACAACTTTTCCTTGTTCCTGTCTCTTTAATTATCTTTGTTGCTCTTCTCTACACTTTCTAGAGTCTCAATGTCTGTTTTGTATTATGGTAACCAAAACTGGACACAGTATTCCAAATGTAGTCTTACTAGTGCAGCATAAAGTGGCACTAACACTTCATTTGGTCTTGATTCTATCCCTCTTCTGATGCATCCTTAGACTGCTCATACTAGGACTCCTAGATCCCTCTCACAGTTATTGCTATTGAGCTAGGTGCATTTTGTTGTTGAATAGGGCCCAGTCTGTTATATTTTAGAAATATGTTTCATATTCCTGTTTTAAATTTACTTCTGTGCAGAGCCTATGCATAGCTAATGCCTGCATCCAAAGAAAAACAATATAAATATCCTCTTTTTTGGCGCAGTAAACTGGAAGCCATTTAGGAAAAAAATGTACAAAGCCTACTCTAAAGCACAATATGGAATGAATGAGAAATCTACATAAATACTGCTTTGTTAAGCATTTTTATGAAGAGTAATTATTTCCTTTTTACATTATGTGCTTAGACTTCCTTTTTTTTTAAAAAAAAAAAACTTGGCTAAAATTTAACATTAAATCACTCATGCAACAATGATACTGTAAATTTAGATTCTGCATACCATATGGATAGCATAATTGAAGCCTTAATGTTCTTAAAATGGCAATTGATCAAGTAGGATATTGCACTTTTTAATTCCACTTGTCAGTAGAATAAATTACATTATTACATTTACTAATCAGTTTGTTATTTGCCTGCAGGATTCAAAATGTGCAGCTTATAAGAACTACTAAATTATGCCCTAGTAAATTAATTGTATGAAACAATCTCTGATTATGTTAGAATATGGCTTTGTAACCAATTAAAATCCATTTATGTTTTGAAGCAATTCATAATTAAAATTATAATTTCTAGAAACCTACTTTTTGTTGCCAATACAAGTTGTGGAAGGTAGTGAAAACAGAAGAAGGCAGCATTCCAAAGCTCCTAGCAATTTCCTATTGCCAACAGTTTTAACAGTACACAAGGAAATGTTTTCAGCAAGTTTTTTTTAAAGAAACTTGTCAGTCCTGAAAGATAGGATTAGGAGTCTTCTTAACTATAAAAAGTCCAATTTTCTCCTGAAATCTTATAACTAAAGCTTCAATTTATTCTGTTATAACTTCAAGAATAAGTTAACACCATGCTTGTACTTTTTCTTTAAAACTTAGATTCTTATTTTATCAATGGCAAAAAAAGTTAAAATGGAAACGTTTTAGACATTCAGATATAGTGATTGTGTATGATTGAGTCAAATACATAAAGATAGATTTTGATATGAATGGTGATAATAATATTTGTTGGCAGGTTCAAAAAAATACATTATACCAGTCTCCTAGTTTTAACCAGATTATTTATTCAGGGATAACACTTGCACGGATAATACACTGCCAGTGTGATTCTTTGAGCATGCATTAATCTTCATATTAATCTACAGGCTCTAAATTCAAATGTTTGATATGATTTAAACTATATATATATATTTATGATAGAATATCATGCACACACACATAAACACAAATACTCTAATTTCTCTTCCCTACCCTAATTCTAATAATTCTGATCCATTTGGCTTTAGTGGGGTGTATGCATGTGTTAAATAAACCTGCTTTCTTTTAAAATAAACTGGCATTAGTGTTAATCACAGTGTTAATTAGATATGTCATACTGCCACCAATATTCGACACTAGCCCAAAAAGCAGATCTGGCAAAATTGCTGGAGTTGAAGACTAGGTTAATGATGCCTTCTTGCCCACCAATCTTTCCCAAGATTGTTGATTCATTTTTGCCTTTGGTGATTGATTTCCTGCAACCTAGCTAATAGGAGAAAATGGACAAGAGTGTGAAGTTACCAACTTGCATCCCTTAAAGCAGGTCATGGCCCACTACTGGGCCTTGAGTCATTTGGAACCAGGCCGCAGAAGTAGT